CTGAGGGTGGCGTGCACACAAATTGTACTCTGTGTGATCAATTTCCATCACCAAGTGCGGCACGTTTGCACTGCTGCTGACCAGGCTGGACAAGTCTTAAAGGATATTACTGATATGCAGAACATGGTGAGAGCTCTAACCAGTGCTGGACAAATTGGTGGTATAGTGAAGAAGGTCATCTAACAGTACAACGAGATCTTGATCAGATGGGTCAATGGCTGAGGAGTGGCAGATGCAGTTTAATTTAAATAATTGTGACGTGTTGTAGTTTGGTAAGGCAAATCAGGGCGGGACTTATACACTTTATGCTAGGGCCCTGGAGAGTGTCACCAAACAAAGAGACCTAGGGTTACAGGTACATAGTCCCTTCAAAGTGGAGTTGCAGGTAGATAGGGTGGTGAAGAAGGTGTTTGGTATGCTTGCCTTTATTGATTAGTGCATTGAGTATAGGAGTTGGGATATTAAGTTGTGGCTGTAAAGGACATTGGTGAGGTTACTTTTGGAGTACTGCGTACAATTCTGGTCGCCATTCTATAGGAAGGATGTTGTTAAACCTGAGAGAGTGCAGAAAAGATTTACAAGGATATTGCTGGGACTGAAGTGTTTGAGCTATAGGAAGAAGCTGGATAGGCTGGAGCACATTTTCCCTGGAGCGTTGGAAGCTGAGGGGTGACCTTTATAGATGTTTCTAAAATCACGAGGAATATGGATAGAGTGAATAGCCAAAGTCTTTTTCCTAGGATAGGTAGGGGAGTCCAAAACTAGAGGCCATAGGTTTAAGGTGAGAGGGGAAAGAGTTTAAGAAGGTCCTGAGGAACTTGTTCACACAGAGGGTGGTGTGTGTATGGAATGAGCTGCCAGGGGAAGTGGTAGAGGCAAGTACAGTTACAACATTTAAAAGGCTTCTGGATATCTATATGAATAGAAGGGCTTAGAGGGATATCAGTCAAATGCTGGAAAATGAGACTAGGTCAGATGGGAATGTCTGGTCAACATGGAGAGGTTGGACTGAAGGGTCTGTTTCTGGGCTGTATGACTCTATGATCAGCAATCTCCCTGCTGCAGACCGTGTTGGTAGGAATGATTACTGCACTATCCTCCTGGAGACATAGCCCTGTCTTCACATTGAGAACACCCTCTGGCATGTTACGTAGTACTTAACCATTGTGCTAAATGAGATAGAGCTCAAACAGATTTAGCAACTCAGATCTGAATATCCATGAGGTACTGTTAGCCATCAGTAGCAGAATTGTATTCAACCACAATTTGCAAACTTCTGAAACTACAACACAGAGCTACTTACTTGGAAAACAGCATTAGCAGCAAGTGATAGAGCTAAATGATCCCACAGTCAACAGATCAGATCTAAGCTCTGCAGTCCTGCCACATCAAGTCATAAATGATGGTGGACAATTAAACAACTCATTGGAGGAAGAGGGTCTACAAATATCCTCATCTCAATTATGGAAGAACCTAGCACTTGAGTGTAAAAGGTAAGGCTGAAGCATTGCAAGCATGTGTAAGCAATAGTGCCAAATTGCTTGGTCTCCTCTTGAGTTCCTCAATGTCACAGATACCAGTCTTCAACCAATTCTATTCACTCCACATAATCTCAAGAAACATGTGGAGACACTGGATACTGCAAAGGCTATGGACCCTGACAACATTCAGACAATAGTACTGATGCCTTGTGCTCCAGAACTGGCCACTGTCTTAGCCAAGCTCTTCGAGCACAGATACAATACTGGCATCTACCCGAGGATGTGGAAACACACCCAGGTATGTCCTGTACATAAAAAGCAGGACAAATCCAACTTGACCAATTACCGCCTCATCAGTCTACTCTTATTAATCAGTTGTGCTACCAAGCAGCATTTCCTCAATGATGATGCTCAGTTTGTGTCTGCCAGGTCCACTTAGCTCCTAACATCATGACAGCTTTGGTTTATACTTGGACAAACGAGCTGAATTCTTGAGGAGAGGTGAGAGTGACTGACCTTCAAATCAAAGATAGATTTGATGAAAGGTGGCATCATGAAACCTGAGCAAAACTGGAATCAACGGGTATCAGGGGGAAACTCTCTGCTAGTTGCAACCCTACTTAGCACAGAGGAAGATGGCTGTGGTTTTTGGAGGTCAGTCATCTCACCTTCAGGGCATCTCTGCAGGAGTTCCTCAGAGTAGTGTCCTAGGTCCAACCAGCTTCAGCTGTCTTATCAGTGACCTCCCCTCAATCATGAGGTCAGAAGTGGGGATGTTTGCTGATGATTGCACAATGTTCAGCCCCATTCGCGACTCTTCAGATACTGAAGCAGTCCATGTTGAAATGCAACAAGATCTGGACATCATCCAGGCTTAAGCTGATAAGTTATAAGCAGCAATCATAGCACTTGAGTGACAGGCAATGATCACCTCTGACAAACAAAAATCTTACTGTCTCCCTTCGACAGCAACAGAACCAGAAGCAAAGAATTGTTACGGTACAGAAGAGGCTATTTGTCCTGTTGTTACTCTTGTTACTTGGAAAGGCTCAGATTAATCATGGTTAGTCATCGTGGCTTTGTTTAAGGGAAGGGTGCTTCTCTGCCTCCATATACCGAATGCTTCCACTGGTTTACAAGAGGCACAGGAAGGCTGGTTCACTCTGACTTCTCAATTAAAAGCCACAGCTTATAGCAATCGATGAAGATAAGATAAACTGGTTCCTTCAGGCTTAAGGTGGCCTTCATTGCAAAGAACTAGAAGAGAGCTACAGGATTGCTCTTGGTCTGAATAGCTCCTCTGTATCTTGTTCACAATCCCAAAGCTATTCAGATACCCGGCAACCAATCACACAGTTGTTGGCAGGCAAAAGAGGTTTGCCATTGATAACTGGTCTCTCGTCCACAAAAGCAATTGGTTTCTTGTTGTCACCCAGGTCAGGATTATGATGGAATACTCCCCACTTGCCTGGATGGGTGCAGCTCAAACAACACTCGAGAAGCTTGATACCATCATCCACAAGCATCCACTCCCTCCTCCATCGACGCTCAGAAGCAGCAGTGTGTACTATCTACAAGATGCACTGCAGAAATTCACCAGAGATCCTTAGATAGCACCTTACAATCCCATGACCACTTCCATCTAGAAGGACGAAGGCAGCAGATACATGAGAACACCAACACCTGCAATTCCCCCACTCGGGCCACTCCCCATCCTGACTTGGAAATATATTGTCATTCCTTCACTATCGCTGGGTCAAAATCCTGGAATTCCCTCCCTAAGGATGTTGCTTGTCAACCCACAGCAGGTGGACTACAGTGGTTCACAAACTCAGTTTACCACCACCTTTTCGAGGGCAACTTGAAACAGGCAAACAAGGCTGGCCAGCCAGCCAATGATGCCCACATCCCATGAATGAATCAAAACAAAAGCTCCATCTGTAGACAACCCCTCAGCTCCAGTTCATCTGCAAACTAGACTTCAGTCATTGCTTGACCAAGCTGCTGTCTAAACAATGCTTGTAATGAGAGTCAGATTAATTTCTTTTAATCAAAGCATGCTGCAATCTTTGCAAATCCCTCATTTTAAAGCCTTTCTTTCTCATTTCACGATTTAAAATAAAAGCACAAAAATAAAAAAGACATGGGCTTTTCAACTCTGCCTCACCAGATTATCAATTTCTAAGCATCCTGCTCCAGTTCTAAAATCTGGTACTTTCCTGAACCCTGATGACTGATTAGCTTCACTATTATCTTTTTGACTCCTTTCTCATACACTGGGCTCATGATTGTTGCCTTCCAATGCATGGATATTGTTCCAACTTTCAGGGAATTCTAGAACTTTTTTTTAAAACTGTGTCCGCTAACTTTGTACTTTCCTGTTTGAAAATCCAAAAGTGCAGGCCATCAGGATTTGTCCACTTTTAGTTCTATTAATTTCTTCAGTGCGTTTCTTTCTTACACTGTCATCTCATTCTTTCTTGGCCCTTTGTTCCCTGCTTTTTTGGAATCCTTTGTGTTTCATGGAAAGTCAGGACAAAGTGTTGTTTAATATCTCCGTCATACTGTTTGCACACCCATCTTTCAGCTCTGTGTCAGAAGGTTGAGGATTTATGCCAGCACTGCGGAGTCTTGAGCTCATAACCTCAACTGACATTCCAGTGTGACAAAGGGGGAGTACTGCATTGTCCACAGTGTGCCATATTTTGTATAAGCCACTATGTTCAAGTTCCCTGAGCAGTGAAGTTCTCCCTAGTGTCCTGAACCAACATTTAACCCTCAACCAACATCACCAAATAGGTTATCCAGTCTACATCACATTTGTGCACAAATTGGCTGCTCAATTTACTACATTTAACCTTGCTAAAAGGGGTCATGAAGTTGAGGTTCCCATTTTTCATTCATCAGGTCTGAAAAGCAAGAAAATTACCTCTAGAAAGGAAGGAAAAATTGATACAGCATGGGAAGAGAGTGCTAATTAGTTGGATTATGGTTAGTTGGCAACTAGCTTAAATTTTTCTAGACCTGGTTTTCATGTGAATTAGTCCTGATGAGTTCAGAATGAAAAGCTTTGATTCATGTCTCTCTTTGGCAAGGTTTAAGTTCTGTACTAGCAAGCAATTATTTCTCACACTGTAACTGTGGCTGCTGTTCAAGAGTACTTCACTGTCTTTGAGCCACTATTAGGGCATCCTAAGATTATGAGAAGTGTGAAAAGTACATAAATGTCTATGCCCATATAATTTGAACAGGAACAATTGATAGGCAATATCTGGCAGATATGTGTAGTACCCTGAAGGCACTGCAGATACAATAGCTATAATCCTGTCTGTCTCTCTGATGCGCGAGAACAATTAACTCTATGTGCAGTAGTGGAGAAAGATAAAAGTCCTGTTCCAATTGGAATAGTTTTTATGTTACACTGTTTGTCTCAAGATGCTGTTGGAAGAATGCATACAAATTGACACTGCTTGCAGGCCGCATTCCTGATTTCACCGTGACCTTGTATTCGAATACCAGGTTGAACCTTTCTTTGTGACCCTCGCACTGTTTGATGCAAAGAATAATTGCAAGATCTCTGAAGATTTCCACGTGGACTTGAACCCCCCGGCTGTTCGGCAGATGTTGCTGGGAAGTGTCGAGGGCGGAGCTGAAAATGGGGCAACTGCTGCAAATTCTCCGATGGGTAACGACGATCGTGTTAAAGGAGTGGCTGAGAGGCTTCTTCGCTATCCAAAACAGGTAGGATTCCTGAGGCAATGATGAGTCTTTATCCAAAGCACTGCTTCTCAGTCCATCAATATATTGGCTTCATTTACTACTGAAGCCATTTGTCACTGTTCTTATGAGAGTACAGATCCCAGAAAGGTAGAGCTGGACTGGATTGTGCTTGATGAAGTTACATTGGGAATGCAGACTGAGCCTGGTCCTCTTCATTTCTTGTACAATTGGAAAAGCTCTGTGCAAGTTGACGGGGCATCTTTTTTGATATCGATAGCAATTGACAATCATTTTTAGTTGTGTTAATTATTAATGGAAGAAGTCCCGAACAAGCAAATTGAGTGGGCGTTTTGGTCATGAAGACGCGCCTTCTCTGATATTTTAACGTTGCACCATGTGAAAGTGAATGATAACCTCGGTAAGAGGAACTGCATCATTATAATCCCTAAGTCCAATTTCAACAATATTTGAAGTGTGGATTATGGTGAAGAGAACTTAATAGCTCCCTGGAATTTACGGAAGTGAGTAACGATAATGCTGGTAAAGAACCTTGAAGCACCATTGACTGTTTTGTCAACATTTTATATTATTTATCCCAAATGGTTGTCACTTGATAATACAGAGCTTTCTCTGGAAGCTCTTGCTCCCATCAGGACAGAATTTGAAGATTACCGAATCACAAAAGAAGCAATTGTTTTATTCCTGAATGAGAAATGGGTGCTGATTGGTTGGGAAGTTGACTCTGATTGAAACATCAACAATGAGAATGCAGTATGGAATAGTTAAATGCCAAGCTTTTGTTGAATTTCAAACCAGACAAGCAGACTGTTGTTTTGCCGAGGTATTGCTATGGGAATGCTAGCAGTAAATGGACCAAGTTCCCTCAATTGCTGGTACTCTTTATCTTTGATTGTGTTAGCCTTTGGTTTAACAGAGAGAGCTTTGTAAGACTGTGGAGAAAGGGATTTATTGGAGTCACGATGGGCCAAATGGCCTCCCTTTGTACTGTGAAGTGTGGTGCTGTGAAAGAAGTCTTTTCTAGAATAACAAAGTGGTGTGCTCCCATTTCACTCATCACTCTGTTTCTAATGTTTTGTGTGTTTGTGGCTTTCTTTGCAGGGGATCTTTTCAGTGACCGCCCCTCATCCGGATATCTTTCTAGTCGCACGAGTGGAGAAAGTGCTACAAGGAGGGATTGCCCAGTGTGCTGAACCATATATCAAGAGTTCAGATGCAAACAAGGTACTTGTGAAGGCACCTCCCTAAATCCCCAAGATGGGGAAACTTCTATTTAAGGTTTCATTTTTAAACAATTGACCTTTCAGAAGCAAAAAGGAATTGATAATCCATTGTACTAGAAACTGTTCTGGGTGGGGAAACATTGAGAAGAATGAGGGACAATTTTAGAAACACAAACAGGAATTGCTGGAGAAACTCAAGTCTGGCAGCACCTGTGGAGAGAAAGCAGAATTAACATTTTGTATCCCATAAATGTTGCGAAGCAGGGTAGATTACTTGTGAATTAGAAGGCAGGATGTTAGAATTTGTTAGTAAAAATGATAGGGGAAAGAGTGTGTGGTCCCTTTAAGAAGTGCTGTGCTTTTATAAGCTTGAAGAGAAGAAAAACATGTCTGCAAGCAGCTGTGGATACATAGACAATTGAAACATATGTATCAATTGGCCGTGTAGTTGGCAACCTAGGCTTGTTTTGATGTCAAGGCAACCAGCTTGAATATCAGCTAATTAATTTAAACCAGACCTTAGATGCCAAAACCCAATTAAATTTAAATCTGATGGTGTTGACAACCCAGGACCAATCCTATTTTCAGAAAATTGACAGGTCATCAAGGGTATATAAGAAGAGTGAGAGCTCTGTGAGAGTGACTGCCATTGGAAGAGTAAAACTCTGGCTCTCACAGAAATCTCTAAGCTCTCTAGTTGAGCACCATCTAGAAGGTACCACGGTAATCTTAGCTAATACTCCTGATGCAAGGATTTGACGAAGAAATAATTCCTGACTGAAGAATAGTGGAAAAGGCATGGAACATTCCTGAAGATGCATCCTGGCTGTAGTTTTGAGAGTCTAAGTTTTAAATTTATTTTTCTAATTACTTTGGTTTATATAAGTGGGACTTATATTTATTGGAATAGCATGCCATTAGAATTTTATTCTGTTTGGGAATAGTTAGTTGTTAAGTGAGAATTGTTCAGTTTATTAGCAGGTCTGTGAATTTGTTCACTGTCAGAGTTAGATAAAGAAATTGTTACTTGTTGCTTATAAAGTGAGCATCAGGGATTTCTTTCATTTAACCTCTTCTTTGTAACAGATTGGGAGGTGAAAGGCAGGTTGCACCATTTTCCCCATTTCCTTCAGCAGGTTACAAGGCGAGGCAAGCTTCTCTGAGTGTTTTGGTTTTAATTATCAGAGGGGTTCAACCTCCGCTCCATAACAGTGACCATTCGTCATAATCATACGCTTTTCAGAGTGAAATCATGAAGCAGAGTTTCACACAACAGGGAGCACAAATTTGCAGTTCTCTCCCCCGAAGGCTGCCACATGCAATAGGCTTTCAAGACTGAGGTTGGTCGATAGTTGTTGGATGAGGGTACCGAGAAGTATTGAGTTGAGATATGTATCAGCTATGATTGGAATAAAAGTCAGAGCAGGCTTGAGGGAATGAATGGCCTCCTCCTATTCCTTTTTTAGTTTGCTTTGGTCTTAAGATGGAATGAACATGAGGATCTTAAAAGTACAGAATCATTTATTTACCATCCAAGCGGCTTACAACCTATGCAAAGATGCCACTGGTTGCATCTTGAAGGTGTTAAAGGAAAACATTTCCATCAGGAATGAAATTTGAAAAGGAAAGTATGCAGATAATTTTGTTTGAGTGTTAAGGTCATGGTTGCCTGTCTAGAGCAATGTTTTATAAGGATTACGTTGATATACACAGGAAGGCTTTCATTTTTACAGCTCCCTTTTATGTCCTCGGAAACATTCCAATATGTTTTGCAGCCAATTATCTGTTTCTGAAGTTTATTCACTGTTACAATATAAGAAATGTAATGTGGCAGCAAAGTCCAGCAGCCCTTCTACCTGCATTGCTTGCAAGTAGGTCAATGAGTGGAGGAACTGTTGTGATTAACAGTTTAGTCTATACTTTCAAATCCATCCACAGCCTCATTGCTTCATGTGTCTGTGATCTCCAAGATAGCTGTGCGCCTGCCATTCTTATTTATTCAACATCCCCAACATTACTTGCGCCACCACTGGTAGTCCTGCTTCTGCTGCTTTCTCGCATTTGCTCCCCCTCTCACGCTCCCCCTCTCTCTCTCTTTCTCCCCACCCTCGCTCTTTCTGCCCCCTCTATCGCTCCCTCTCACCCCCTTCTCTCTCACCCCCTTCTCTCTCACCCCCTTCTCTCTCACCCCCTTCTCTCTCACCCCCTTCTCTCTCACCCCCTTCTCTCTCACCCCCTTCTCTCTC